CTGTTGGAAGGTTCAAACCGCAATTTGATTTACCAAACGGTCTCCGATTTTAACGAGCTTATGCTCGAATCGAGCGGCTCAACGAGACGAATCCAACGGGCCCAAGATCTCCAAATTCCGACATCATTAAAGCCTCCAAATGTCCAACGAACCGACATCATTAAAGCATCCAAATGTCCAACGAACGGTGCACGATCGAAGGGTTCAATATCGGCCGTCCATTCAACCACTCCCAATTCGCCCATGATCTCACACCTATTTACAAGCCATGTCACTCTAGAAAAACTATAAATAGAGCCCTCATTCTACACAAAGGGGACTCAAGTGAAGAGAGAGAAGAAGAAGGAAAGAAGAAGAAAAAGGGGAAAGGGAGAATCCTCTCCTCCTCGACCACCATCGGATTTCGTCCAGCCGCCCGAACACGTCGGGATTATGCGTGATATTCAGGAGAACGCAGGAATTCTGCCCAACTTCCACGTGATGCTGAAATTCTTCCCAATTTGCAACAGAGTTCCCTCCTGACGCCGAAACTCCGCCTAAGTGAAGCCGGAGTTCTCCTCTGCCACCACTCTTCGCCAAGTTTCTACCCGACGCCGGAGTTCTACCGGTTATCAGACTTCGCTGGACGTCTACGCTAAAATGGATTTCTTTCCATTGTTGGACTTCTACCTGACGTTGTACTTCTGATCTTCGTCGTTAGACTACAGTCTTTCTGACCTCCGGCGCCCTCCGACTACGGTCTTCCTGACTTATGTTGCCCACCGAATACAGTTTTTTCGACATCTGTCGCCCGTCGACTATGGTCCTCCTGACTTATGTCGTCCACCGACTACAATCTTTCCGAAGTACCTCTGTCGCCCGTCGACTACGGTCCTCCTGACTTAAGTCGCCCGTCGATTATAGTCCTTCCGACCTCCATCGCCAGCCGACTACGGTCCTCCTGACTTACGTCGCCCACCGACTACAAGCCCTCCAACCTCCGTCGCCCGCCGTCTACGGTCCTCCCAACCAAACGAGCATATCAATAGTGATTCTTTGTATTCATATCATGTAATGTACTCTATAAAATGTAAATCAAGCTAAGGCCTTCTCCCAATGAATGGCCTCATTTGTAATCGTTTGCAATACTAGTGGATTCATTCAAACTGGGCTAGGCCCCGTGGTTTTTCCCCCTTTTCAGGGATTTTTCACGTAAAAATCTTGGTGTCTCATAAATGCTAGACCATCTCTCTTATCTGATTGCGTGCCGGATTTTCGTACAACGCTAAGACGATAAACTTTATATTTCTCTACCGCCACGAATACTCCTGGACGTAACAATACTATTTCGATAGTTTGAGGTGTTCATACCTATTGAAATGATAATATTAAAAAAAAAGGATAAGATGAACAAGAAAATATATTAGTATTTCATATTTATGCTCTTTATTATACTTATATAAACTACTTCTATACTTTACTCTCCTCGCTACACTTTATTAGCTCCTCGCATAATGACACTTGTTCTTCTAATGCTTTGTTTGGGAGAATTTTCTTATTATTTAATAAAGTAGTTTTTTAGTATAAATTTTAGTACTGGAAAGCTTCTTTAAAAATGATAAAAAAGCTGTTACAAATGAAGCCTAAAGCAACCTCTAACAAACTATAAGAGAATTTTATTTTCCTCATTCCATAACTAACCACATACCACATCTACCTCTTCTTTGCCATTTGGAAGTCCATAAGTTACGTTGGCACCTTGTGATCTCTCTTTTGTAGTTTGCGTAGGCCTAGGAGCGGTTCTTACCTCCGACTCCCTACCAAACAGCCTATTATTCCTATTTTTGACAATCTTAAAATTGATCACTATTCTTTTTTGTGCTTATTAAAATTTTTATAGGGCTTTGATTTTTAAATCATTTGTAGCATTAGATTGCTCTTATATTAAATTAAATTAAAATATATTTTAAGTTAATCAAATGACTCAATGAGTTGACACTTGAGCCAGCTGAGCCAACTGAGCTTGAGCTTAAACTTATTTAATATGCAAGCATAATTATAAACTCGAGCTCAAATTCTTGTCTCTATAAGCACGACTTGTGAGCTTCTTATAACGTCAAGCTCGAACCGCTTGGTTCACTTACACGCCTAGATGAGACATATTATAAGGCTTCTTTTCTTTTCTTTTACATTTTTTGTAAGTTTTTTCTTACAAAAAAGTTGTAATTCTTTTATAATTTTTTATTTTTAATGAAAATGGGCATATTTGTACCTAATTTTTGAAAAACAAAATGAGATTGGGTACGTGTCAGTCTCTGTAGAAAGTGAAGCGGCAAGAAGTGTATTCCTGTTTTCTTTACTCTAGCTGATCAGAATGATTCCCTCACAGCCGGGAAAGTATCTACCGCTGGTCCCACACCCACCTTCCAGACCCTTCAAAAATTTACGACATTTGCCGAAAGTGGGACCCACGTTACCAGTGCCGTTGATGATTGGATAATTGCCATTAAATGAAGGCAATTCTTTATTATTAGAACGTGATTATTTCCCCTTCAAAAGCCAAACTCAGAGTGGCATTTCCGCAAATAAGTTGACACCTGGAGGTAATCTCATATCGTGAATATATTCTTTCTGCATATAAAAGCCGAGTCCAAGCTTCCCTGAAAGTGCAAGGCAGCTCTCTCTCCTAAATGGAAGCTGAAGACGGCCTCCTTGCCCTGTTGGACCACTACTGGTTCCAAACCCTAATTCTCCACCGGAAAAGTTTGCCGCATACGGCTCCTGTAGCTCCGGCGATCTCCTTTGATACAGGCTATGACGAATCTTTGTCATCAGAGCCTTCACTACGTCCGCCTCCCCCGGACCTTTTACTCCGCCGCCACCGCCGATCTAAAAGTGACGAGCTCGCTCCCTTCCCTGTTCTCCAAGTCCAGTCTCCCAAGCTCCATACTATTTTCTCTGGCAAGGTAGATGCCGAGTATCCGTATCGGATAGCGCCACCGGCCGGCGAAAGCAGAGAACGAAGATTTAAGAGTGATCTGGATCGGCGGGGGCTGAGGAGGCGGGAGCTGAAGGGAGAGAGCAAGAGCCTCACAGATCTGGAGTTTGAAGAACTGAAGGGGCTTATGGATCTAGGATTCACATTCCCGGATGCTGAGGCGGCGGATCCGCGGCTGATTTTGATCGTTCCGGGGCTCCAGCGGCTGAGGGAGGCGGCTTTGGATAGAGCGGATTCGGTGGAGGAAACATCCTCTTCGGCATCGGATGTTGCGGAGGAGGCTGCGGTGCCGAGGGCGCCGTATCTATCCGAGGTGTGGGATGCTGCGGAGGCGGAGGAGGAAAGGCGTAATGTTCTTTTGAGGAACTGGCGAATTCCGGTCGCGGGCGATGGGATTGATATGAAGGATCATCTCCGTTTGTGGGCTCACGCGGTGGCGTCTGCAGTTCGTTGATTTTTGGGTGCCACTGATTTGATTTTACTGTTAAGTTCTTTCGCCCATCTTCTCTACTGCAGCCGACGATTTTGTAGCTATTGTTTGATACGAATCTCTCTCTCTCTCTCTCTCTCTCTCTCTCTCTCTCTCTCTCTCTCTCTCGATATCTCTAATGTCCTGCTTGAATTGTTTATGTTCAACTGTCCACGCTTGTTTTTTGTTCACGACGACGAGGTTTCGGATTAACTGTAAATAAACGAATGAAATCTTCAGTTTTCTTCAAAATTTATATATTTTTCTCTCTTGATCTGTTTTTTAAACTTGCCAAAATGTTCGAAGATTACTGATTCACCGTTATTTCAAATGGCAAATAGAGATCTCATTTCAGTGTTACACACACAGACGGAAAGAGGATGTAGAGATCTTAATGCGGAGATCTCATTTTCCGTCACTGATTCTCTCACTGTGGTAAAAAATCCCAAACCTTCACATGAAGCATATCATCCATCTTATTAGAACTGTAAGAACAGAGGTAGGGCTAGGCTTAATTTTTTGCATTTACTAATATTTATTCATATGAAAAATATGTTTGAAATTCCCTTTTTTTTCTTGCGCTTTTTGGTGAATTTTATGAGAATGACGCTTAAATGGAGGATTTAAACCAGTTAAATCATTAAACAACAACAAGAATATCACTTTCCGCCATTAAAACTTCCATTCTCTTCACGGCCTACGCTATGCAAGTGTGCAACCTTGTTGGAGCCATGCGCGCTTTCCATTCCAGACTTTTCCCTTTGGGATCACAGAATCTCTCATCTTATTCGCCCAAGGTAGTAATTATCTCGGCCTCCTCTCTGCACCGATTAATTATTTTATGCGGATCGTAGAATAATTAGAATGTCCATACTGTATTCTGCGTCCGATCTCCCCACATAATAATTTCTCCTACGCACCAAGGCTATAGCAGCCTTCCATCCTCTTCAAAACACGATAAGTTATTCTGTGCGGATTTCGGATCGTCCGGAGGCGAATTACAACAAATCATGTCACCTGGCTCACAGCGGTATCGACACCGATATGTAGTAAACGAGTGATATGACGCGTTGTAATTCGCCTCCGGACAACGTCCATAATCCGCAATAAATAATTAATTTGGGAATCCAGGGAAATCTAATCCTATAGTGTAGTTAGTAAAAAAGTACAAGAACAAAAAGAAATTAATGTACAAAATATACAAAAAATTTATACAAGATCACATAACTGATCACTAGATCACTACTATGGTGTGAGTCAAGGTGACTCTTGAGCTTGAGCTCAGCTTATCAAGCTCGTGAGCCGAACTTCACGAGCAAGTAAGTCAACTTTGAACCAGCCCTTACAAGTTTAATTGACTTGTTAGCTCATCAACCAACTCGTCAAAGAAATATTAATGTAAAATGCACTTAACATGTATTATAATTTAAGAGTTTAATTGAATTATATCTTTTTTCTATCAAGTGATTTTTATTAGTTTTCTTTTAATTTTAATCATTTAAATATTTATTATGATAATTATTTGAATCAAAATTATTTATTTTCTTTAATACTAAATGAGCTTGTTCATGAGCCTATTTGAACTCATATAATTAAGCTCGAGCTTCAACATGAACTCATTTAAGTAATCAAGATCAAGTTAGAGGTGATTATAGCTCATCTTGCTGTATAATAGCTCTTGCTTTGCTCTATATTTAGTTGTAATTTTCTTACGAATATTTATTTTTAAGTAAGACTCAATAAGAAAAATGACTTTTCCTTCTTTATATAGAAAAAAAATAATGCAGATAAAAAAAATATTGATGAAATCCCTAAAATTTATTTTAATGAACTTACTCGCAAATACTTTACAGATAAGTTTTCGTTTGTGATAGATTTTTTATTGATTTATAAACTAATTTTATAGTATAAAATTTTCTTGTCTTCATTGGACATTTTCTTTGTGAAATAATTAAAAAAATAAGCTTCACAATTTTCTTCATAGGACATTTGCTATTATTTATTATTATTATTATCTAAATGTTATTGTTTGTAAATTAATAATATTTCATCTATATTTCTAAACTTACTTTCTATTCCAAATTTTTATGAAATTATATATAATTTATGAAATAAATAAAAGACTAAAATATGATATTTTGATAATTTTTATATATTTAGAATAATTATTGATATATCATCAAGAAATTATATTGATCAAGCACCAATCTCAAGGCAAATATCGAGTTGGAAACTTCAAAATTTAATTTGGGGACCATCTAAACTCTGATTTCAGCAAACTTATAGTCGAATTGAACGTCTCAAAAATACAAACTCAATGACACCAAATCAACTCAATCCGAGCCCAAATGGGTAAAAATTGAAGACTTGAAGCATATTTGAAAGGGTAAAACCATAATTTGGATTACCAAACGGTTTTTAAACATGACATGCTTATAGTCAAATCAAGTGGCTCGACGAGACGAATCCAACGAGCCCAAAATCATCAAATTTTGATATCATTAAGACATTCAAATATCCAATAAATGGTTCACAATTGAGGGATTCAAGCTCGGTCGTCCATTCAAACCACTCTCAATTCATCCTTGATCTTTTTTTATTTACTGGTCATGCCACTCTCAGAAAATTATAAATAGGCCCCTCATTCTTCATTGAGGGGGGAGAAAGCCCCTCATTCTTCACAAGACAATAGTTTTTCTGACTACTGTCGCCTGTCGACTACGGTCCTTCTGACATGTGTTGCCAGACAACAACCTTTCTGGCCACTTTCACTCACCGACTATGGTTCTTCCGACCTCCATAGCTAGATTGTGATCCTTCCGACCTTCATTGTCAAACAACGGTCTTTTCTAACAACTATCACCCGCTGACTACAGTCTCTCCGACCACCGTCACCAGACTACGGTCTTTCCGACCTCCGTCGCCACCGACTATGATTTTATCGACCAAACAGATGTATAAATTGTGATTCTTTCAAGTCCCATCATATAACTCACTCTTAATGATGTATATTTATTACATCAAGCTAAGACCTTCCCCCAATGAAGGGCCTCATTTGTACTCGACTACAAATAATAGTGGATTCATTCAAACTGGGTCATGCCCCGTGGTTTTTCCCCTTTTCAGGGTTTTCCACGTAAAATTCTTGGTGTCTCTTATGAATGTTGCACCCTCACTTTTATCTGATTGTGTGTTGGATCTTCGTATAAAGCTAAGATGTTAAACTTTATATTTCTCTGTATTCGCGAATACTCGAGGACGCACCAATTATAAAAATATCTTTTTGGCATTTATTTTTAAAAATATTTTTTATTAGCACTACATTATAGGATTTTTTTTTTCCAAAATAAAACTGAAGACATTGTTTTTATTTGAGACTTGACAGTTTTATTTTAATGGCTTTGAATATGACAAATTGGCGGATATTGAGTCGGATCCACGCAAGCTCTAATTATCATATTGCCCATCACGCCGGAAAAAATAAATGTTGTGGATATTGACCACAAAGCATTTATTTTGGTTATTCCATTTGGAGAGGCTCCAATTGAAAGTTATTTAATTTATATTTTGAAAAAAAATCAGATTAAAAATTTTTATTATGATATTTTAATATATTTGATTGTAAGAAAATTATTTCTCAGTGCAATTTTTTATTTAAGAGAGATTTGAAGAATCTTAAAACTCTACCAGAACAATACCATCAGATCACTTAACCACCATCGTTGGAACACTGCTCGATCGATGCCATCCTCTTAACACTATAGGCCGACTACATCCATTTGATTTTGATTATCAAATTATGATCTCCCGATCGTCATTGCTCGACTATGATCCTATGACCATCGTTGATGGACGATTACAACCCTCCTACCACCATCTCTTGACTAAGATCCTTAGACCGAATTTTTATTGCCTCAGGTTACCTGACTTAGAGATACATCAGGTAGCCTATAATAGATCGCCACGTGCTCTTACTCTTTACCGCGTGACCCGACGACCCGACCTGGAACGAATATGCTCGGTATTTGCTCGGTATTGCTAGGTACTACTCGGTATTTGCTCGGTATTGCTCGGTATTTGCTCGGTATTGCTCGGTATTTGTGGCGTTTCGTCGCTTGAGTTCGGGACAGAGCTTCAGATGCAAGTCTCGCCAGGCAGCGTGAGAAGCCGGTGGCGTCGAGGACGACGGAGGTATTTGCTCGGTATTTTCATCAACATTTGAGGATTTGACAGATAAGGAATACCCTTTTGTATTATGCTGGCTAGCGCGGGGTATTTGGTCACCTTGCTCGCCGATTGCGTCATCGCCGGAGTTGTTGCAAGGGGAAGAAGCGTTCAGGATGTTGAAGGAGGTGAGATTCTCTAACTTTTTTTTTTTTTTTTGCTCTGTCTATATTTAGGTTCTGTTTGGCTTCAAGAAATTTAAAGATAAGAGCATGCGGGATTTGAGTTGTTGCAGGCGAGGAGCATGCGGGATTTGAGGCGGCGGCGGTCCACTCGGGCGTAGGGGCGGGAGAGGAGTTTGGAGTTGGCGTCGTTGATGAAAATACCGAGCAAATACCGAGCAATACGCGAACATAGTAATCCCGGATTCGTTCTGGGTTGGGTCGTCGGGCCGCGCGGTAAAGAGTAAGAGCACGTGGCGATATATTATAGGCTACCTGATGTATCTCTACGTCAGGTAACTTGAGGCAATAAAAATTCCCTTAGACCACAGTTGTCCAACTATGATTTTCCAATCAACGTCGCCCAACTATAGTTCTTTGATGCTCAACTATAATTTTCTGACCATTATTACTCAATTACAATCCACTGACAACAATTTGAATAGTGTCTCATAGTTATACCAATGCCTACTGGCTTCATCAGCTATCGTCACCAACAATGCATGTCATCACTCATAAATTTGATACACGCCATCAAGTTGAACTAATGTTAGTACCAAGGTTTATGCTAAATTTATTTATCTATGATCATGCCTCCTCAAATTTGAATGGTTAAATAAATAGACTATATTGTATCAATACATTTCTCAATTATGAGAAAGGTAACATTTGTAACTAATGACAAACACCAATACTAGCATTTTAGCAGGCTTTGTGATTTTTCTCTTTTATAGGTTTTCCAAACTCTGATGTCTTTATATCTCTATTTTTATTTTTGTTTACCAAATGCTCGTATAATGCTAAGACTTTATATCTTCTGACAATAAGGGCGGAACAGGCTTATCTTTTAAGGGTGGGTAAAATAGGACTTTGAAATGCATAATTTTATATATGAAATAAAA